CTTTTTACTACCTATCGCCCCCTCTTAGACTATTTTTTCTCTGGCATTTTTTTGTTTTAAAAAAATAAAAAATAAAAACGGCCGGCCGGTATTGCCGGCGGCGGTTGGCCGATTTGGCCGGCCTAGTCGGTCAACCGCCACTTTGTGCGGCCGGCATTCCCGGCCGGCCAAGGCCGGCCATTTTTTTTAATCAAGTTTTTATTTAAATTATGTTAGAATTTATAAACTATTATGTCATAAATTATAATTTATTATCTTATAAAATTTATTATCTTGTAGAATTTATTATTATTATGTTAGAATTTATTATTTTGTTCAAATTAAATAAATAATTTTATTTATCTTTATAACTAAAATTAAATTACATGTTAACATTAATTTGAAAAAATATAATTATTTAAATTAACTTAACCACAAAGTAGTTATTTGATATAAATTAAAAAAAATATAATAACATAATAATTTCTAAGGTCTAACACAATAATAATAATAATAATAATAATATGTTATGTAAGATAATAAATTCTAATTTATAATGTAATAATTTCTAAATTTTAACATAATAATAATAAATTCGATAATTTATTACATAATAATTTTTAAATTCTAACATAATCTAAATAAAAATTTGATTAAAAAAAATGGCCGACCGGCAATATCAGTCTGAGCGCCGTTGGCCGGCCGGTGATTGCGGTCGTGCTCGGAGGCGGTCGGCCGGCTATCATACATATATTTTTATATTTTTTTAAGACCAAAACAATGTCATTGGCAAAACGGTTCAAGGGGGGCCAATTGATAGTAAAAGATGCACGGTATTTAGCAATTCACTTATTAATATCGTTGATCAGTCTTGCTTTTCAGCGGCAGTAAGTTAATCTACTATACATGGTGGGTACATGAATAAATGGGAAATAATCTTGATATGTACATTATATGTATATACTCATATTTAATAAAACAAACACATAATCTATATATATATATATAAAGAGGAGTAACAAAGCATTTAATTTTATTACCATGCATTAAATTTTATTCTCATGCATTAAATTTTATTTTCCCTCCAAATTTTCTAGCATTCAATTTCATTTTTAAGTTACAAAATAACTTGTTTGAATGCCATAAATTATAAGCATAAATCAATCAAGGGAGTTACAAAATTGTACTTAAATTTTAAGTTACACCCACTCATGAAAATGGCCGGGTATATTAGTATAAAGAAAATGGTTGTAACGGCTCTTCCATAGCAATTACTTGATCAAAATCAATTTTAAGAATTATTTTCTTAACTCATATTTTTTTCATGAAATAAATTATGATTTATTTTGTTCTTTTTATATTTTTATCTTTTTAAAGTATTCGTCTCTGTGCAAATGCACAGGTTGATTACTACTACGTATATAAATGTAGTATACTCATATTTAATTAAACGAACACATTAGCATTATAAAATACTCGTATTTAATGAAATGTTTGTACTGATATCCAGACCCACCACCACTACAAAAAAAAGATGAAATTCCAACGGAAATGTATTCCAATAAATTATTCCAACGGAAATTCCAACAAAAATATTCCGTTGGAATGAATTTTCCATTGGAATTTTCGTTGGATTTTAACGATTCCAACGGTAAATTTTCCAACGGGGTGGAAATAAATTTCCAACGGAAATTCATACGGTAGAAAGCTGTTGGAAATATAACTGTTGGAATCATCAAATTCCATCTAAAATTTCAATAAAAAACACATTCCAACGGAATATTTCTGTTGGAATCATTCCAACGGAAACTATACTGTTGAAATATTCATTGGAATTTTCATTAGAATATATTACCATATAATTTTTTGTTCAAAATATAATAACTTTTTTGTAGTACACTTCGTATGTAGCACAACAAAAAACGATAGCATGAATAACTATCCACATGCCTAGTTATTAAAATGTTCGTTATTAAAATATTAAATATTTTACTTATTAATATTATTTAGCCATTGACAAACAGTATACTGTTAATTAACGTACGAGCCATTTGATATGTCCTTTTAATCTCTCAATTTAATAATAATATTGATAATACAATAATAGTGATCTTAGTACTAATCATTTTGCAAGGAAAAAAAAGCCATTCAATGACTAAAAAATTCACATAAAAGAGTTGGTTTATTTCAAAATGATAAACGATAACTCGAACTCACACCTTCAAAGTTTCCTTGTCGCCAAAGTTTCATGAAATTGATTTGTGATGGCCACAAAGACCCGCCAATCAGCATGTGCCAAGTGGCACATACCACCCGTGTCACTTCTGTATGGGTGAATGCCATTTAATGAATGTTCACCATTTAACGAGTCATCCCAAAAATAAGTTCAATTTCAATAATTTGGACCATTTTCACTTGGACTTTACATTAAAGGAAATAAAAGAAAAAGATATAAAACACATTTAAAAGTTTGAGCTATTTAAGGTAACGGCTATGAAAATTAGCCATTTTCTTCTCTTTTTGCGTGTTTTTTTTTTTNAATCTCTTTTTAGAACTGGAAAATGTCACTTTAGCGTGTGGTAGCAAGAGAGGTTGGCAAGGAAGAATAATTTAATTAACCATAAGTTTCTTAACTATTTGTACTTATAATGACGAATTTACCAAAAAATACCTATTTTTGAAATTATAACTGTCACGTAAGTCATCATAACTAAAAGTTATCATGCAGTCAATTATTTGATGAAAAACAATCCTGAGTTAATGCGCGTATATGTGGTAAAACATACGTATAATTAATGGCAAGTTCAATAATGTCACTTAATTTCTTGACATTTATAAAAACTAGTATTCGACCTGTGCATTTGCACAGATATAAATAAATTATTGTGAGTCTGTATGCATATAATGATTAATTATTTTTCTTTCACTTTTTTACCAAATTTACAATTAAAAGAGTTGGAATATTTTTTTTAAAATTGCGTTTATCTGATTGGATGTAATGTATATTTTGGTACGTCTTTTATTTGTGAATTATTTATTAGTTATTTAGGAATTTCAAATATATTTTTTATTTTAAAAAAAAAAATTAAATGTAACAACAATAATAACATCTAATCACATTATACGGTCAACACATTATATGGTCAACTGTCATTAATAAAAAATTTAAAATAATTTTTGTAATTTTGAAGTGATGAGTATTAATTATTTAATGATTAAATGAAAGATTAAATACATCAAAATGTAACGGTTTTTGGAGGGAAAATTGTTAAATTGCCACATAGGTAAAATTAAATAGGTTTTATTAAATGTTTTGAGCTAGTAATTATGTATATATAGATAATATAATATTCATTAATTTATATTACTGTAAGAAATAATCCTGAAATCAGGATAAATAAACGCTGACACGCTCGTTTATTCGTTTTTGGTTCCTTGTAACAGCTTTGATTGATATTTAATGTTAGTGTTCACAATAGTATCCCTAAAGTTTTGGCAGTCAAAAACTTAATAATGTAGTTTTATTACTTTATGAAACATTTATCCTAGTACAGAAGATAAATGACAAAACATTTCTTGTCATGGCATTAATTTTGGTGAATTGTTAAAAAATCATGTTAACTGTCTTCGTTTTTATGCTATTTTCTATTTTGCATTAATTAAGTAATAATTTTTAATTTATTTTATTATATAATAGTTAATACTAATTTATTTTAAAGTCACATTAAATGAGTTCTATTCTTAATTTTTTTTCAAACATTATTATTATTGTAGTTGTTGTGTTGCTGCTGTTGTTAACTTATTAAGCAATTTTTTTATTAAAATTAGTTTATTATTTTTCATGGCATAATCGAACCCCTTAAAAATTAGCACACAATTGCTATAACAATAATTTCAATATTGTTTATTCTAATGGATTGGTCATAATCAGCTATGATTGTCATTATTGCAATCAATATAAAGATTAATATATACTAATTTATATTTAAATCATTATTTTTACTAATAATATAAGTTAAAATTGTGATATGCTCATTATCCAATTCATGATTTGAAATATTACATATGCACACATATAACATATAAAACTTTATTTGTACATGTACATATGCAAAACATTGCTACTAGTTTTGCTAGATCGAATACTAGTGTTGCTTATGTTTGGCAAATATGCTCATAATAATTCATAAATAGTGATATGAATAAAAATATATATTTATATAATAAAAATAGATGCTTATCTACGTGAATTATCATCATAAATCATGTTGGTTGTATTTCACTAGTCTCAAAATTGTCGAAAATTAAGACAACAGAAAAGTCCAACAACTACAGTTTTTCAATTAGAACTGGTCCGACGGGTCGACTCGGAGCCGAGCCCAATCTAGGTGGGTGACTTCGGACCCAGTCAAAACCCACGGGTATAAAAAACTATGCCAACAACAATATAAAAACAGAACCGAGCTTTATTGTTTGCTAGACATAATTAGAAAGGAGAGCCATCTTAGACACCAAACTCATGAAGAACCAAAAATTGCACAGCTGCTTAACAGTAAAGACAAATGTTTGATAATGAATTGACATGAAACAGCCCCCACAGTTTAACTGACACCAACTGCACTCTGTCTCCAAAGAACAATTAACACAGTTGTTTTTTTTTTCGTCCTTTCCTTTTTTTCTGTTTTTTTTAGGACTTTCATGAAGAAGTTCGCGGAGATCGTTTCATTTTTATATTTTCTTTTTCAGTCTGCGCAAATGCACCTAAATTCAGTAATTAAAACACGACAAAATATTTTGAAGATTAAGCCTCTTGGTGATTGGATGGTTTTGAGGCGGCCCGCGCCAATCAGATCCCTTAAAATGAAACCAATCAGTAACTACGCAGAGCAAGTGCCTAAATTATTACATCGCCTATGGGTATTTTACAATTAATGACTAATTTTTATTACAGGAAATTATGACTGTAAAGTGTAAAGTTTCAAGCTGGTAAAGGTTATACGGAATTAGATAAATGTATGTAAGCCAAGGTCATTTGAGTATTACGTTCATCTCCAAAACAAAAGTAACAATTTGCAGCACACTTGTGATACCACATTAAAGAACGAAATTATATCTGGAAACACACAAACTTCATATGGTTTGTATGATCTTCCAAAAGTGCCTCAAGAAGTTGAAGATGCGAGGGAACATACCAAGGGCTCTTATTAGAATCTCAGACATAACATCAAAGCCGAAAGCAAACAAATACTACAGAATCCACTAAAGTCAGAAAGTCATTTTAATATCGTTTTTTTCCTTTTTCATATAGTATGTCTGACATGGAAATCAAGATAAGCTAAACTTCACTACCCGATTACCTGCAATGTAAGGCTACACGTATTCCTTTCTCATCGTAAATTTGGCCTATGCCCAATAGCTACGTCATCTATGCCTAAGACTCTTACAAACAGGTAATGATGTGCTCTGAAGTCTGCTAATCCAATTTGTTGTAAAATTCAAAATTTTCTAAAAATGAGTTTCAGATGCAATTACATAATTTAGAAACCAATTCCCGAACACGAATTGAATCGAACTCCTCAAACCAGAATCACTTTTCTATGCCTGAAACTCGGAAAAAGGGGTTTTACAGGAATTACGCAGATTTTAACTTGGCAGATGTGGTTGCAAGATAGGAAAGCGTCTTGTGCCCGACAAACATCAAGAACATTCCCAGTATACCCAGTGCCTTCAATGTTGTGAACAGATCCAACTGTAGAGTAGAAAAGACAAACTTAAAATAATACACATAATGGGAAACATTGGTATTTAGATAAACTAAAATGTTGACAGAGGCCTAAATAGTAAATTCAGATTGGTAAAGGCACAGACTACAGTGGATCAGAATTCCAATTAATACATTTGATCTACTTTTTCAAGAAAAATGATGTAAATAATTGCGGAATGAAGTGAAAAGTTTTAAGATATTGAATATGCACAAGAACAGAACAGAGGCAACATCAATTAAAATGATTTTTTTCTAAAATTCAAAACAGAGGCAACAAAAACACATACCTTGAACCAGAAGAGCGCATAGAGTGTGAGAACTGCAGCAATGCCCAAGTGGAATAGAATGGTAAAGGTCGCGGGAACAGTTGACTTGGGCAAATTCTTGAGGTTAGCACGAAGGTATACAAGCTGCCGAGAAGGGAAA